ACGGATCAGAATTGAGAAATTTAGACGGTTCAAGAGAGATAAAAATTCAAACTATTCAAATTTTTTGAATTTTTGTGAAGTACATCAACGTAATGACTAATGAAAGTCTTACGATTAAAATTAAATGGTTTAAATCTTTCAATTCAAGAACATGAACACAGAAATTGAGAGTAAATCCCAATCCTCTAAATAATATAAGAAATAATACGTCACATATTTAGTTTGTCGTTGATATAATATTCTTTGGTAAGCATCGTAGTTAGACGGTAGACTCAAACCGAGAAGGTCAAAGCATCCAAGCCCAATTGGTGGTATTTTCCTGTAGATAATTTCAGTGCGAAAGTTCCACCGTTATATCCGCACAGTTTCTTGACTGCTTTTACTGGCTGCCAGATCTTTTGCTTCAACCATTTTTAAAGCAGAATTTTGGGGTCTCTTTGTTTTCCCCTTTTGTATGTATTGCATATCTGCAACCTGCAAAAAGTTTGAATCCTGCAAAGAGAAAGAGGTAAGCATATTTTCTGCTGTTAATTTGCTTTTTTTTTTTCTTTTCTTTTTTTTTTCTGTTCAACTTTGGGATTTTCTGCACCTTATTGTTTATGGTGGTTCCCATTTGCAACTGATGATGACCAACTTTTTGAAAAGATTGGTCCTTTTTCCTAATTTAACAATAAAATATTGGTTTTTTTTCTAATTTGACAATAAATGTTCCTACTGTTTGCAGGACTTTTCTTTCCTCTGCCGCCTTTTGGATTCCCACTTGATTTTTGGAGAGTTGTTCGTTGGGTTTTTGCCAGTTTTCAACGCAGACTACTTGAGTGGATTCAAAAGTACTGATTTTGGAGTTGTTTCACCAAAAGGGGTATCGTTTACTTTTCTGAATTTCGGAAGAAATTGGAGGGTTTTGGGTCAATTGCTGAAGTTGTTTCTTATACAGTGGTGGATTTTGAACTAGGAAGGGCCTGAAGTTCAACTCTTGTTCTTGATCCGAAAACCGGAAAGATTTGAGTTGGATTTGTTGGTTCATTTCTGGGTGCGTTTACTGTATGGTTATGGGGGATTGTAAATCTGTGAACCCGGAAATGGAAGGAGAGTGCGATTTGATTGCTTCGGCGAAGAACATAGCGAGGGCATTGGGGTCGAAGAAGAACCTTACAGATGGTGAGAGGGAGGTTCTGGCTAATCTTGGCACCCAGTTGTCCAGCATGATCAGACTCGGTGAGAGAACTGATGATAAGGTAACTGAGGTGGCAGATCGCCTTAATTCGATTCAGGAGAGGATCATGAGGTGGGAGGCTGATCAGTCGATGATATGGGATTCGAGTCCGAATGAGTCTCTGGAGTATGTCAAGGCCGTGGAGGAGGCTCGGAGGTTGATCGAAAGATTGGAAGCGTCGTGTTGGGATAAAAATGATGAAGAGTGTGAGGTGTTGCATAGAGCTCATGATGTTCTTCAGACAGCAATGGCTAGGCTAGAGGAAGAGTTCAAGCACATGCTTGTTCAGAACAGGCAGCCCTTTGAACCCGAGCACATGTCTTTTCGTTCGAACGAAGAGGATATTACGGATGGCAGCTCGATAATCTCTTTTGGGGATGATTCGATTGAGGACTCACTTCAAAGGGATAGTGTCAGCAGAGCGTCTGAGGAAGTCATCATTGATTTGGTTCATCCCGATGTAGTTCCTGAGCTCAGAGGCATTGCAAATTTGATGTTCAATTGCAATTATGATCAGGAATGTACGCAAGCTTACACCATCATCCGAAAGGAGGCATTGGATGAGTGCCTCTCCATTCTCGAAATCCAGAAGCTGAGTATTGAGGATGTGCTGAAGATGGAGTGGGGCTGCTTGAATTCCAAAATCAGAAGATGGGTCTGGGGTATGAAGATCTTCGTGCGAGTTTATCTAGCCAGCGAGAAATCGCTCAGCGATCAGATTTTTGGGGAGCTGGGACCGGTTTATTTGGATTGTTTTGTTGAGGCATCAAAGGCTTCAATGCTGCAGCTTCTGAATTTTGGTGAAGCCATGTCTATTGGCCCCCACCAACCGGAAAAGTTGTTCCGCATTCTTGACATGTATGAGGTGCTTGCGGATGTTCTTCCCGATATAGATGCTTTATATGCAGACGAGGCTGGTTCTTCTGTAAGGATTGAGTGTCACGAGGTTCTGATGAAATTGGGTGAGTCTGTGAAGGCGACATTTTGTGAATTCGAGAGCGCCATTGCATCAAACCCCTCGACTAACCCTGTTGCTGGAGGAGGAATACATCCGCTCACCAGATATGTGATGAATTACTTGAGGACTCTCACAGACTATGGAGAGACCTTTAATGTGCTCTTCGAGGACGGTGATGATGCTGATTCCGTTTTGCTGTCTCCTGACACGAGTCCTTCCTCAGAAGAGGAAAACAAAGCCACTGATTCTCCAGGCAGAATTTCCCCAATGGTTTGCCAGTTCCGATCATTTACTTCAACTCTGGAAGGCAACCTTGACGAGAAGTCCAGGTTATATAAGGATCCTTCGTTGCAACATGTATTTTTGATGAACAATCTACGTTACATGGCTCAGAAGGTTAAGGGGGATGAACTGAGGCTCATTTTTGGAGACAGCTGGCTTAGAAAGTGCAACGGGAAAGTTCAACAGCACGCGATGAACTACCAGAGATCTAGTTGGAGTTCCGTCCTTAATTTACTCAAAGAGGAGGGCATTCAGAATCCCGGTTCAAATTCCATCTCAAAAACCCTCCTCAAGGAAAGGCTCCGCAGCTTTTATCTTGCGTTCGAGGAGATCTACAAGAGCCAAACAACATGGCTCATTCCGGATCCTCAGCTTCGAGAAGATGTGCAAATCTCAGCGTCCTTGAATGTAATCCAAGCTTATAGGACATTCGTGGGAAGACATTCGAATGACATAAGTGACAAGCTCATCAAGTACAGTGCGGACGATTTGCAGAATTACCTCTTGGATCTCTTGGAGGGATCCCCGAAATCATTACAAAATTCCAGCAGGAGGTGACAGCAAAGTAGATGGTATAGTCACCATTGTCTTGTTATTATTTACAGCAGACGACAGATTTTGATTTTAAGTTCCCCTCTGCTGCTCATGTATGTTTTCGTGTGTTTAACGTTGTTATATGATGAATCCGGTTCACTTTTGTGACCTCTGCATTGGATGTCATAACTGATATAACTTATAAGATTGAATGAAGTAGAATTTCTTATGAAATTCTATGTGCTTTTGGTGAATCTGTTTCTCTTTTTTTTTTTTAAAGTCTGTCAAATTTGGGTGGTGATTCTGTGATTAGTCCTCTCTGCTTCAGCTGCTGCAAACTCAAGACCATAATACCAAGGTTTAAGTTTCAGAAAGTGATAGAAGAGATTCTCTTGTGTAATCAGTGATTCATCATCAAATCACGTGATGCGCAAGATAGACATATAGTGATAAATCACAGGCTGAACGAAAAATTTCTCTAGAAAGGCTTGAAAGTTTAATGTATTTGAAGTTGGGGAGCTACTTTCCATTTAACCGAGATCCACACCCTTGTCTCTATCTCACTCATCACTTGAGCAAGCGTTTCTCACAAACAAGATATCACAGACAAGGTAAAGGAAGTCGCGTGACGAGCGAGACAGAGTTACGTGAACATATTTCCGGCTGCATTTCCCGTTTTCCTCTCGAAGTCAAGGTCCAAGTCGCAGTAAGATTGTTCAGCAAGACTTGTCAAAACGGAGACGCAAGCTTGCGGTCACAACGTATTTCATTTTTTTCGTCCAGTCCAGGTTGACAGAATTTGCCAACTGACATTTGAGTCTTGACAAGGACCGGACAGCTAACTTTTATTGCATGTAGGTCCCTGGAAAAGTTTGCTTTTGTTAGGAAATGCCATCAATTTAAGGCAATGGTAGTCCCTAGTGGTGGTTAGGGACATTGATGGAGAGCTGCCATGTCTCTGATTTTTGTGGCTGAGAAGAAGCCCTAAGGGACTCTAAGGTCTGAGTCAAGCCTCCCAAGACCCCATACAAATTGCTTGATCGAGTCCTCCCCTTTATTTGTCTCTTGTCGCGGAGAAGTTCTTGTATCCGCCAGCTGTGTATAACACACGACCGGGTGGTAGAACCCGTGTGAGATCAGTGTACCCGTCAAACAAGAGGACTGGACCGCTGTATCAATGACTGTATGGGTGACCGGTGACCTGGTTCGGTCAAAAGCCGTACTTAAAAATTTCTCCTTGCCAACATGTAGCTTTTATTTGTTTCTCTTTTTGCACTCTTCAAAACGGCAGCAACATACCATTTTTTGTGATTTCTTTCTATCAAAGAATCGTATTTATTTTATTCAATTCAAAGACCGGAAATAAACATTGGTACTATGCAGGACAAGATAAAAGAAAGCACAGAAATCCCTTATCGTAAGAGGGATTATGGTCTCGATTAGTCGAAAATAGTCAACCACTGGAAAAAGCCACTTCAACTGGACAGATTCAGTTTGTTCTATCCAAGGTTTCAAATATGCAAATGCATAATTAAAAGGGTATTTATTCTTCAACTGCATTGTTTCGAACAGAACATGAATTATGTTGAAAGGCAAATACAAAACCGCGGAAAATTCATCGTGAATTCATATCATATCGATACACATCTTCGATCTTAATGATTCTTTATGTAACCGTTGGCAGCGAATGTTATACTCACAAGCTAACTATCTAATCAAAACTACCCATTAAACTACAACACATAAAAATTATTACTATTGACTCTAATGACGCCGAGAGCAACACATCTTGAATTTGCAAAGACACAAAACATTAAAAACCCATTGCCTTTTAACTTTCTAATGTCTATATTAGCCCACCGCACTGGTGGATAGTCTATTCATTGGCATGTATTTTCAGAAACCCCGAGTAGTTTGTTGCCGAGAACTGACCAGTTTACGCTAATTGGTAACTCATAAGGCCCAGAAAGGCTTTCGAGCTGTCACTGGACCGGAGTTGTTATTAGGTAATTCTTCATTAGTTTCCTCATCGTCATCATCTTCATCATCACCATATTCCATTAGCTTGACCAGAGTATCTGAAAAACCCAAAACATTTCAGATCTCCATACATCATTAGTTAATCAAAACAGAATTCAAGAAATGAGCAGAAAACAAACAATTCCACCATTTTTCTAATTCCCAACCCCGCCCATGGACACACAAGAATAACCTTTCTAATCCCATCAACTCATAGCTCATGCTTACCAGGAACATTATCAGGTTTTGTTTTCTTCAGAGCAATGTTCTTGTCAAGCACTTTAACAGCCTGTGTTGATGAGGTAAATTTTGGTGGAGGTGGAGCTGGAGGCATGGCTCTAGGTGGGGGAGGTGGCATTCCATTTGATGCCTGCTGGACCAGTTTCTTTGGAGCTGGCATCGTGGATACATTTCTCACACCCAAATCCTGCAGTCAGTTAGGGAGAAAAGAAACCAAAAACAAAAACTAACAGCTCAATAACCAGAAAACTGTGAATGTTTATGTAAAAAAAAAAAAAAAGAGCAATAATCTAAAGATTAATAGTTGCAACTAAGAAAATTAATCCAAAAAATGATTTCATATCATCGAACAAGTTTACAAACTGTTCTATAGCTTAACCACATGCGTATCAAGTTTCAAAGGCACAGTAATATTAACATTTCTAAATGGCTAAGTTCATAAAGGAGAAATTGAAGGTTAGTTGTGAACTCCGTCTAGGAAGAGTACCGAAGGAAAAGGATAAAAAAGGTGGTTGTAAATATCATGTTCATGAGCAAGTATAGAGCTATACTTGCTCCACAGATTCCATGAGCAAGTACAGATCAATAATGGTTCCATGGAATTTGATCTGTACAAGTACCTTTTGCTTTAAAAAAAAAGCATTCCATGAGTGGCACCCACCAGCATCCACAGCCAATTTTCAACCATCAACACCAATGCCACTTTTATTCCAATGCAACTGGAAGTAGCAGTAGCTCAGAATTTGCATTTCAAACTCTTGAATCATCGAAACCATGGAGTTCTCATGAAATCCAAGTGAAGCTGGCAATGGTTGTGATGGGGTACCTCTTCTCTAGGAGTTTGGCTGTGCATGCTGCTGGTGACAGCACAAGAAGGAAACACTAGGATGCTCGTCACGAAATGAAGAAATCCAACACTGGATTGACTTATGACAAATAGAAAACAAAATATATTCTTGTAACTTGACCTAAGTATATGACATTAAACTAAACAGCAAGTCTAAGTTGTCCGCAGAATAAAGCTCCAACCACAAGTGAACCCCAATGGTACCACCGAAATGAAAACCCTGTGAAAAATACAGACCAGTGGCCCAATAGAGAGGTTCAGTATCGGCCTCATAGAAAGTCAGAGAAAATACCTGGAATAGCGAGCATTGCAAGTCAGTACAAGATTCAACTACATTACAGTGACAAAAAATATTAACTAAAAGCAACATTTATCAGCATCCATCTATCCAAATGACCATGCTCTTGCTGAAGAAAACACAACGTGACTAAAAAGTATATATATGCATGGGGAAAATTGCATGGTCATTTTGGTATCTTTAGTCAAATTGATGGGAAGGCCACCCAATGACCACTGTCATGTCAGGCAAATTAGTCTATCTTGTGACCAAGCTAAGATATAGATATATTATATGGACAGTTAACTGGCTAAGCAAGAGACCTTACATTGACCTAGCATTAACAAGTTCAACCTAGAGTTAGCAGTGTTTCTGTGAGCACAAATTGTCTTTGTTTTCTTAACTAATTAAAGTTGAAGAAGCTTTCAACAAAAAATTATGCAATCAACATGAAATACTACTCCCCACATAGCAGCCAATCTTATGAAAACTAAATAAAGAAAAGAGGCCACTTGTTTCCCGACTCACGAAAATTCCTAAAGAAATACTTCCTGTTCTGACTTATTTATCTGCAATTATATTCTACAAACTTGGACTAGACCAAGTTTAGTAAATTATATGTACATGTATAATTACATATTTACATTTAAGGTCCCTTTCTATTGGGGGATCCCTTAAATAACCTTATTTAGGGGACACATTATGGGGCATGCTCCAAATTTTATTTCAATGATCCAAACTGTCTATTTTTTAGGTATTCCCTCAAAGATCATCTTTACAAAAAATTAGACAAACCAAAACCATTATGGCATAGTTTAGCCAAAAGAAATATATGAACACGGTATTTCAAGAAACACTAAAATGATAACCATTTAATTGAGTGGCCGCATGATGAGGATTTTAGTGAGATTTTGCAATGATGGTCATTGATGGAAGACCCAAAGCCTAGACAGTTCGGATCAAATACAATGCGGAGTGAGCCCTACAAGGGTGGCCCTCAAATAAGACAAACAACCAAGGAGCTTGCACTCGTACCTGATGGACTTTTGCAGGACCAACTGGTAACTCCTGAAACTTCCGCCTTTGTGGAGGGTGTTTCTCCTTCTCAGAACCAGAGGTAACATTCACCTTTGGTTCAGTGCTTGGGGCTGATGTTGTGGGAGCAACTGTAGAAGTGATAGGGGAAGATGGCTGTCTAAGGGCCAGAGCAACCTGTTGCAAAGGTGTGACTTGAGGATATATCCCTGCGTATCCATTGTAGCTTGTTCCACTAGATAATAGAGGTTGGGGATAACCACCAATGTTCGCCTGAGATTGTGCACAGTTCAACAATCCTCCAGGTTGAGAGACTGTCCCTTGAGAAAAGACAGTAGCGACACCAGGGGTTCCAGCAGAGGAAACTGGCAAAGCTGGTGTAGCACCCACAGTTGGAGACACCGAACTTGTAATTGCTTTTACCTCAATTCCAGAACTCTGAACCCCGGCCAACTGATGCGGTGGTGGAACAGCACTATATACCTGCTGTGGGGGTGCAACAGCACTATAAACCTTAGATGATGAAACCCTATGACAGAAAATGGCAAAACGTTATGTACAATACCCAAGAACAAGCTACAGCAGAAAACGAACTAGCTAATGGAAACCGGATATTCATGTAATGAGCCGAATCCTACACTCAAAGTTGTTACCATAACAAATTTAATTTCTACATATTGGGTGAAACAAATATGTATTTATAAGAAGCAGAAACGAAGAATATGTCTATTTGATAAATAATGAAAAGTTTGTGAATACGGGTAAACCACACTATACATTTCCCAAAATGAATGTAACAGATTACGAAAACAGGGAGAGAGCATGCCTTTTGTCACATTAGGTAAGAAGTCAGAACACTTGAACACTTCTAACCATGCAATGCCCAACAATTAAAATAATTACCTGGAGACACCACACTCTACACTGATTGTATCTAAAAGATTTTCAGCCAAAAGCTTAGCATCTTCAAGACTTTTTGAATTATTACTTGACAAGAATAAATGCAACGGTAGCTGTCCTTCTGCAAGCAAAATAAGAGAAAATACGTAACAATAACCAACAAAATAACCCGATGCTGGAACAACAGGCTTGCAATAAGATTATAATGCATAAAGAAGGTGATACCTTCGTCATGTATATTCTCAATATTTCCGGAACCACGCCCTCTGAGTGAGACAGTTGCTCCTGTTTCATTCATAATGTGATTTATATACTGGTCCTGCAAGTACAAAACGGACCACCACCAACACAAAAACAATTTCTCCCAATTGTATGGAGATGTCAGAGAAAGCTTCAAACATTAGAATCACGTATCTCCATCATGTGCAAAATAAACTTTAAATAAATTGCTCAAAATAATTAAATCAATCATGCTTACAAGCATGAAGGTTATAATTAATAAATGTGCACAATACACACAATTAAACAAGCAATTTCAACATGATATCTATAATGACACAAATTAAATGAGCTACACTTACTAACATAGGGTTATAGAATCTAAACTGAAATCCGGTTCTAACAAAATTCAAGCACTATGGAGAAAAAGAGAAGGCGTGATGGGAAGGAAAAGAAAAGATGGAAAGAGAGTTGAAAAGTATCAACCACGAAGAACACAGTGAACCCAGAGAATTTTAAGGTTACTGATAAGACGTGAAAAGGGGAGGAACAAAATAACTTACATTTGGACCACGTATACGAGCTGCAATGTTCAATGATGGATCTGCGTCAAAGCCCAAATATACACAAGTACCTTGTGCCTGAGTAATCAAATTTCATTAGAGAACTTATGCCATCAATTTAAATACCACATAAAAGCTGACATTTAATGCAATAATACCATCACTCCATTGCTCATAGTTGGATTCTGACCCTGTTTCAACATTTCTTCAACCATGGCAGCTGCACGGTCAACTGCTAAAATACGTTCTGCTGTCTCTTTTAACTGGCAAGCCATGATTATGATGAAACCAAATCAAAATTCGTCCATGAAAATTTCTATTAAAGATGGACATTTTAACAGATAACTAAGATAGGAGGTTTTTCAAAAGGGGATATGGCCTACAGTTTACGATTATAGTGATCTTTGTTTAACTATATAATCTTGACAGTTGACACAAATGAGAAAAATTTAAAAGAAATTGCGTATGATGATGCCACATAATTTAAGAAAAACAATCCAATCATGGATGGACAAAAAGAAATTCTCAGAACAACCAAATCTATTGCACACTTTTATAAGCAAACAAAAACATCCATTATAAAGTACCATAAACAGAAAGATTTTCAACAGCAACGATTTATGCTATGAAGATGAAGCTAATTGACTTACATGAGCCCCTGAAGATATATGAAGATATAGTGGCTTTTCACCATCAGTTGATGAATTTGGTGGATGATACTTTCCCCTGTAAAGGCAATTCATTATATGAGTATCTATGACTATGAGCAAGAAAAAAGAACAAATATAAATGCACCGAACTGACATTGAAAGCAAACCAACCTTGTTATCACCACAGCTCCCGTGCATTTTTGGATCTGCGAGTAATATACACCATCAATCTCAAAGAAAAGAACCATCCATTTCAAACAAAAATAAATAAAGTATCTTAGGAAATACAAATTTTGAAAAAGAAAAACAAAAAACACCTCCTCCTGTGTTTGGCGTTTGTCAACTTGTAGCGAACTGAAGACTCTGCATCGTTAATAACAATTTCTCGTGCTATTATTAACTCATCTTGAATCTTCGGCTAGATTGCAAATCATTGAACAAAACAAAAACGAAATTTGAAACTAATCAATCGGAATACTGAATTATGAGCAAGAAAAGAACATTAAAATCATAAGTGGATTAGATTCAAAAACCAAAACATATTGGGGGGGGCAGCGGACAACACATATACCCCAGAATTAAGAAATCATGGTTTCTCCCAATCCTCATGCACATAAACCAACTAAATGCAGCACAATTCAAGCAAAATGGGTCTATTAAAGACATGAAAAGTAAATAAAAATGCCCAAAAGTGAACTCACTTGAATTAATTTCTGAATGACCGTGGCAGTCTGTGGCGGGATCAGAGGAACCTGATACGGCTGAGGTATGGTAGCATAGCTGGCCACAAATGGATTCATTGAAACAGCACCAGTAACCAGAGTTGTGCCAGGAATTGTAATCCCACCAAGAAATCCCACATTTACCATTGGGAGAGCCCCAGGCACTGCTAAACCGGCTGAAACCAAGGATGCTGCAGGTTGATCCCACTTTCTTTTCTTCCTGTACCAAGTGCTAAAGGTTTAACATATTTTCGTGAACTACATGATTTAAAACACAAATAGACAAACACAAACACAAGATCGAGCTCAAGCTCGCCCAAACATAATTCCCGCAATTAGACATCTTGAACTACACAATGAAACTCAATTATCTTTAGTAACTTTGGGCAATGGAGATAATGGTTTCGACAACGCTACTGGCCACGCAACTTTATCAGTAAGCCAAGACATCATGCCCAAACTATTTCAAGTAATGAACTTTAAATTTTATCCTTCCATCCTTCAAATTCCAATTCCAATACCAGTTAAAAAAATTAAGCAAAAATGTAGCTCAAGTCAAATGTCCTAAAATTATTTTTCCCCAACATTTTACAAATATAAATAAATTGATAGTCAAATTTCACAACAAGCAACACCAAAATTGCAAATATGAGAAAGTTCCCAAGATAATAAAAACCCTAAAACACCCCTCCATGCAACCAGAACAAGCGCAAAAAAATCTACAATCCATGAAACAAAACCCTAAAATAATAAAATTTTGAAGCGGAGGAAGAAAATCGAGAGAAAAATCACTAGGGTTTAATAAAAATACGAAATTTAAATTAGACAAAGGAATTAGGGTTTTAGCGGGACAAGAAAGACGGTACCTTTGCCTTGTTTGTGAATCATCGCTGGGCACGTCGGAGGAAACCCTAGCGCCACTCTCCTCCGTCATTGCTGCCGATTTCGGTTTTACAGTCTCCGGCGGAGAGAGAGTCCGCTATCAATGTCTGGTTCTTTCTTTTCCCCTTTCCCTTTCCTTTCCTTTTTTTTTTGTTTAATTTCTTCTCTTTTATTTTTCCCTTTTGGAGGAAGGCCCAATAAACTAGATAAAAGCCCAAATAAATATAAAGAAGCCCACACACAATCAGGGTCCAGATCCTCAAACTGATCCAAGCCGTTCATAGAATCGTGCGGCTGAAAAAAAAATTGACAATTTTCTGACCACCGTACCCTGCCGTGCTGTCGAGCATCCCAGCGATCCAAGTAGCAATCCCACCGCTTGCAGTTTCGTTTATTTGACAGCACGCTCTCTCTCTATGTCCTCTCACTTCCAGTGGAAAGCAAAACCAGTTGCAAAGATCACAGGAAGAATCAGAATGGTAGTGCTAATGTGGGGTGCTGCGCCACCGTCGCGGCCGCCTCTGGGTAAGAAAGGTGGAAGCTTGAGGGGTCTGATCAGCAGGGCTGTGGTGAGTAATGCGAAGGGTGCAGGTACAAACAATGGGTTCCCATCGTTTCTTCCAAAGGAGGTTGACAAAATTAAGGACCCGTACGCCAGAACGTTGGCTCGGAGGATGGAGAGGCTCCCTGTGCCGGTAACCCACTAATCGCTTTATCATTTTTTTGTTAATGTCACTCATTTCTTTTCTTTACGAAAACGATACACTAATTTACGAGGAGAGAGAGTTTGATGCGGGGAAAGGGAAACTGGTCTAGTCCAGGTTTAAAATGTATGTTTAGCGTCTATTTTGTCACAAGATAGTTTCATCAAGAAATGATTTTCGCACACTATTTTTTTAATTTTGTTCTTGAAATTTGACCTAACGACTATAAATAAAAATTCATTTTAAAAATTGTAATGACTTCGGATCCCTAAAATCATGAGGCAGGGATCCGGAGGGGACCCATTTTCCTTTATTTTTGCCATCTTTGTATCTTCTTTGAGAATGTCTTTGTCTCCAAAGTCAAAAACAAATATTTTAAAAATTTTGGAGGAGATTCGATGTCATTCAACGAAAGGAACGTCCGTTTGCCATTTTTGTGAGGGTGGAACTCACTGGATACAAGGGTATAATAGTCAATTCAGTAAGGTGGGAATATTCTATGTCATAAAGTATGCCTTCTGAATATTTATTTACTAAATTATTTCTAGTTTACAGTAAAAAAAAAAAGAAAAACTCACAAAATAACCAAGCCAAAGGTACTTTTTCCAAGTTTTATTTAAGATGAAACTTTAATATTTTCAGTTCAAATTTTACAATGTAGTAAATTTGGTTAACTTTTGCTGGGATCAATGGCAGTTCCAGGATTTTTCGTATGTGGTTGAGTTGAAATATTCATTGGAATTGTATCTGGTGTCTGGCGTGTGATGAAATGATTCATAATTTTCTCATCCAGTTTGAAGTTATTCATTGACTAATGGCGGAAGCCGGTTGCAATTGCAGATAGGGTCGTCCGAAAGTTGTATTATGAGTAGTTGTGTAAGGCCTTTAAAACAAAGTGAGATCAATCCGGTGGTTCTCCTCCATTGCTTTGACAGGTCTGTAATGCTTGCAAATTGCAGATTGACCGTTACAATGTGAAGTTGTGTTGAACATGTTTCGTCATGTTTGTATCCTTTTTAGTTCTTGTTTAGAATGGAGGTGCGCGTATCCCCTGCTCGAAGAGGCTGGGTTGGAGGCTTGGGCTGTTGATGTTCTTGGGTGGGGGCTTCTCTGATTTAGGTTCATTTACCTGCCTTTTCCTCTCTGTTTTTTTCGACTTGATTGAGTTGTATACTTCATGTCTCTTTCATGCCACAAGTGATTAATTTAATTCCGTTTGATCATTTGTTATCTGTACTAGAAAGGCGTCCACCATGCAGTGCGGCATCAAAGCGTGATCACCTCTATCAGGTGTTTATGCAATGCGATTTCCTTTTTTTTGTTCTTTCTTTGGTCCAGTAAATGTTGTTTCGGCCTCTCTATTTTGTTATGTTAACTGGATTTCACATTCAATTGCAGTTTTGGAAGTCATACATCAGAAGACCGATGATATTAGTTGGACCAAGCCTCGGTGGTTCTGTTGCAATTGACTTTGCATACCACCATCCAGTAGCTGTGAGTCTCTTTCAAATTGAGCTCCTTAGCTCTAAATCGTCGTTGAAGAAATTATGTAGTGTGTATATGAGGGATTGATTTTATCTTTTATTTACAGGTCGAAAAGCTGGTTTTAATCAATGCAAGCGTCTATGCAGAAGGCACCGGAGACATGGCAAAGTTACCGAAAGCTGTAGCCTATGCTGGGGTGGGTGTCCACTTACATCGGTATTTCAATCCTACGTGAATTCTCTTTTAATGTGCTTGCCTATCGTCTGATCTTTTTATTCACCAGGTTTCCTTATTGAAGAGCACCCCTCTACGCTTCTACGCAAATATGCTGGCCTTTAACAGCATTTCATTAGCTACAACTTTTGATTGGACTAATGTAAGATTTTCTGCTTATACAAATAATACTTCTTGTTCACACTCCGATTGGAACAGATAGTATATTGCCGGAACTTTTATCTTGGCTTATTTGTCGTATAAGCTAACAGAGATCGTGTTATATTCAGGTCGGGCGCTTACACTGTCTGCAGCCTTGGTGGAAAGATGCAACAGTCAGTTTTATGACTAGTGGGGGCTATAACGTTGTTTCCCAAATAAAACAGGTAAACTCTCACCTCGCCATCTTAATGAATACGGTATATAAGTGGTAAACAGAATTCCGCAATTCAGGGCAGGCAATAACATTCTGAAACCGCATTTTACAGGTGAAGCAGAAAGTGCTTGTGATTTGCAGCGAGCAGGATAATATTATCAGCTACAAACAAATACTGGTCAGTTTTGAGCCGCTACATGCTACTTAACTTTTGCTGCCATACTTAAACTGAGCATGTTTTACGATATTTTTACTATCATTTGAAGACGGAGGACTTAAAATTATTCTCTTAATCTCAATGTTTTAAAAGGCTCGCCTCAGGGCGCGCCTAAGCGCCCTGTGAGGCTGGGCTTGAGGTTTGCCGCCTCTGTTTTGAGGGAGTGGGCGGAAGGCGCCAGAAGGCGTCGCCGAAGCCGCCTAGGCGCGCCTCAGGGGATTTTTTTTTTTTTTTTTTTTTTATACTCCCAAACCCAAATTTTGGGTAGGGTTTTAACTACCTCATACATCTTCCTTGCACTATCATCTCTCTGCCTTGTTTTCTGATTTTTATTTTTTATACAATGGATGTGTGTGTCTTCTACGTGCATTGTTATATATGTGCTCATTGTGCTTTTCATCCTCTATTATATATATATATATATATAAATATATGTATATATATGTGTATATGTATTTATAATATATGTGTGTGCTCAGAGTGATTATTGATTAATAATCTTCTTATTTTTAATATAATATATGTGTACGCTCATTGTATATATTAAAAAATTTAGGTCCCATGAGGCTTCGCGTCACGCCTAGGCTGGGCTATCCCTCGGACGCCTCGCCCACACCTTAAGCTTTTAATACATTGCTTAATTTTAAAAAGCGCACGAGAGATTGTTGAAATCGTTCCAAAATACTCAATAGGCCTGTTTGCAGCATTTTGCAAACCCTACTTCAAAATCGATCGGCCTGTTTGAAGCATTTTGGAGAACTTGATTCTAAATGTATATGTGTGACCGCTGACTTTACCGCGTGCTAGAATGTAGAAAGTAGAAACTGGAAGACATGCTTAAACGTCAACATTCATGCACTACTTAATTCAGTCTTGTTCCTTGAAAATTAAATGCAGAGGTTACGCTGTGAGCTTCCGTTTGCAATCATGCGGCTAATACCAGATACCGGTCATCTCCCTCACGTCGAGAATCCCGCCTCCGTTTCAAAACTAATTGCAGAGTTTGCTCGGAACGATCGTTGCTGAGGGGGACTGCGGCAGAACTTCTGGGACTAATTCCCTGCTAAGAGGCCAATTGTTCTTCTTGGCAATACCCATGTTTTTCTTTAAACGCATCTTTTTATAGTTCTAATTCGTAGTTCCGGAACAGTTAGCAAAGAAATTAATGAATATTAGAGAAGAGATACAGTTATGATTAAAATGTTAGAAGAGTAATGAAAAGAGCTTGAAACTTTGAGATTTAACGATAGGGACAAAATAAAGAATAAAGTTAATAGTATCAGGATTGATTTTTTAGTGTAAAAATATGGTTTTTCATTAAAGTGAACAATACTGGGAGTTTTTCATTAAAGTTTCCTAAAATGTTTGGCGTTAGAAGTTTTGTATTCGAATTTCGTTTTTCTAATATCCCTTATATTGAAAAATAAGGGAGGAAAATTCGGATATCTTTTCCACATTTGAAAAAAAAAATACCACTACACTAAGATCTAACACAAAATATTTAGGCCATTTCCAATCGAAGAATGATCAAAAGGTTCCCTTTAGCCATATAGTTATGCAAGAAATTATATTTTAATGAACAATGTTATGCCATATTTTATAAGGTTTTTTATCACAAATGGTCCCTGACATTGATCAAACACATCATTTTGGTCCCTGACATTGAAATCAATAGAAATGGTCCCTGACATTGATCAAACACATCACAAATGGTCCTTCCGTTAAAAACTTTTTGGGCAATTTTCAAAGCTTCGTAACTCAATCGTTTCTTAACCAAATTCGACCCATGATATATCAAAATGAAAATAGGAAAGTGTAGAACAAGATTATACCTATTTGGAAACCCAATGGTTGCCAGAGATGACCGGAAAATAGCCTCAAATGTGACTGGTCCGCGAAAAAACTGGAAAACTCGCATGAAATTGGGTAAACTTTAAACATTCATAATTTCTTCAATAATCAACGAAATCGAGTGATTCAAAAATGAAAATCATACGTCTCGACGAGACTAAGAGAATGGTAGCTTTCTTGATGGCTAACGCGTCATAGTTTGTCCGGAAAACGACTCGAAATTGGCTAACTCAAAAATGGTTATCCAAGTTCGAGCCATTTTTCGGTCAAACCATCATAAATTAGCAGTCAATAAAGGTATCATTCTCTTTGTCTCGTTGAGAAGTATGATTTTCATTTTTGAATCATTCAATTTCGTTGAGTATTGAAGAAGTTATGAATGTTTAAAGTTTACCCCATTTCAGACAAGTTTTCCAGTTTTTTCGCGGACCAATCACATTTGAGGCTATTTTCCGGTCATTGCCGGCAACCATTGGGCTTCTAAATAGGTATAATCTTGTTCTACACTTTCCTATCTTCATTTTGATATATCATGGGTCGAATTTGGTTAAGAAACGATTGAGTTACAAAGTTTTGAAAATTGCCCAAAAAGTTTTTAACAGAAGGACCATTTGTGATGTGTTTGATCAATGTCAGGGACCATTTCTATTGATTTTCAATGTCAATGACCAAAATGATGTGTTTGATCAATGTCAGGGACTATTTGTGATAAAAACCCTATTTTATATCATCTCCAACCGAGAGAGCCAAAACTTCATAGGCTAAACATAACCCTTTTGACAAAAAATCATCTCCAAAGGGTCATAGGCCAAACATAATTTATTAATTTAATTTCATTAATATGGTTAATTAAATTATACAATATTAAAATAATGTTTTCGGATATATTTTGAGTGTCACTTGTCAAATGAATAAGTCTCGGAATTTCTTATCTTTATATAATCTCAATAATTTTTTATAGAATTTCAAGTAACATGTGTTGCTAACGTGATAACTCTCTTGATTTCTTATCTTTATGTAATCTCAATAATTTTTCGGATAAGAATTCGAGTGATACGTGTCTCTAAAGTGAGTAACTCTCTAGATTTCTTATCTTTATGTAATCTTAATAAATTTTCGGATAGGATTTCAAGTGTCACGTGTCAAGATGTAATTGGTTGTGCAAATTTATGTGGCATTTCTTATCTTCAGCTTTCAATGATGTAGGTATTTATACGAAAAACAATTAGATTTTTTTTTAATTCGTCCAAAAAAAAAAATCAAATTCCAATGGTAACTGACGTTAGCTAGCCATTGCTAGCTAGCATTATGCTGACATTAGGTAGTCGTTGTCATTCAAATGGGCTAAGCTAGAGGGTTGGCAAAATGTCAAGCTTGACATTCTGGCGCTGGAGGGCTAGGCTGTAGGGCTGATTGGCTGGAAATGGCCAGGTCGTTGGCCTGATTTGGGGGTTTGGCCCCGGTAGGGCCCATAAGCCCTTTAGCCTAACCCTTGGTTGGAAACGGTTTTCGTGTCATTCCGAACTATTTTTAACCCTATAACTCTTTTGTCGGGTCGGTTGGAGATGGCCTTACTAACTATACATGGACATCATATTTAGGCAATATACATAGAGGTTGCGACGTATATAAGATTGGTTTAAAATTTAAATAATAAAAAAGGTGATAAATTATGAGCAAGATTATTAAATATAAAAAATCAACGATATAAATCTAAAAATATTTGAATAAAAATTATTATTGGTACTCCAAAAATCTCATTATACACTCCTTATTATACTTAATTCAGTCTCGTTTGTAAATGAAATGCAGAGGTTACGCTGTGAGCTTCCGTTTGCAATCATGCGGCTATTACTAGATACTGGTCATCTCCCTCACGTCGAGAATCCCGCCTCTGTTGCGAAATTAATTGCAGAGTTTGCTCAGAACGATCGTTGCTGATGATGAAATTGAGGTTCTACCATAAAACCAATTGACAATATGAAAAGTAGTCCAAGAATATGTAGAGCATCCTAAGACCATATAAGCACATAGTAAACCTTGTCCCTCACCGATGTGGGACAACTCTTAACAACTGAAGGGGACTGCGGCAGAACTTATGAGACTTGTTCATTGCTAAGAGGCCTATTGTTCTCCTTGGCAATACTAATGTTTTTCTTTAATTTTAGGGAGTTTTAACAAAACACTCTGGTACTGTTCATTTTTAACGAAAAATTATATTTTTATCTTTTTCTGGCACTATTTACTAAACTCTTATTTGTCATTTTTATTAAAAACTAAAGTTTTTTTTTGGATATTTCGTTAGTTTTTCTTTAATTTTATAGTTCTAATTTGTGTTCCGGAACAGTTAGCAAAGAAATATTCTGAGTATTAGAGACGAGATGTAGTTATGATTAAAATGTGTGGCACTAGAATGCGTTCAAATTCCGCTTCTCTAATATTCCTTATATTGAAAAATAAGGAAGGGGAACTCGGTTATCTTTTCCACATGAGAAAGTAAAATACCACTACCCGAAGATCTAACGTAAAATATTTACTAGTTGTACATAGATATAATATTTTGGTCAATACACATAGACGTTGCAATGTTTAATAATAATAATAATAATAATAATAATAATAATAATAAAATGATAAATTATGAACCAGATCATTAAATATAAAAAATAAATGATATAAATCTAAAAATATTTGAAACTAACAGTGGTTACTCAAATAAAGCTATGTACAAAATAAAATTTATTTTTTATTTTTATATTTTTGTTAAAATTTTGCTTCACTTACCATAACAACAAACTATCTTTTTCATTTTCTTCAAAATATATTTTTCGTGCAAAATTTATTGAATTCCATGTTGATGAGAGAATGAATATTGTATGTACTTATAAGTAGTTGAGTTACTCTCCATATTGCCACTTGGTTTTATGGTGGAACCTCAACGTTTTCAGGTTCACCATATTTACCACATGGATGAGAAATTCTCTTGTAAATCCAAGCTACCATGTCTAGTGCTAATTCTTAGTAAATATGCTAGGCCAAAGTTATGTGACGTCATTATTTAACTAATAACTTAACTGAAAACATAACGAAAGTATTAAGGTGCTACTAAAATTAAATCTTAAGTATGAAAATGAGACGAAAAAAAACTAAGGATAGCAAAGTGCGAATTTCACGATGCTTAACTGTATTAAAGTAAGAATAATTTTTTTTAACATATAATTATTGAAAAAGTTAATTTGTCTCTAAATCCAAACGGTGCGTTCCGCACGCCTCTTGTTTCTTTCTGTTTCTAAACCCTAGTTTCCTTCCATCCCTTCCGTCTTAAACCCTGCTGCTGGCCTGCTAATACCTCTCTCTCTCTCTCCTCCTCCTCCTCCTCCTCTTTCTCTCTCTACAATCTCTTTCACAGAGAAGCAAGGAGATGGACGCCGACGGAAATACCGAAGAGCCGTCGCGGCTGGTCCTCGTCCGCTTCAAAACGGACCTCGGCCACCCCTACAAAGTTACAGAATCCTCCATTTCCATCCCCGCCAATCTCACCCGCTTCGGCCTCTCCACCGTTGTCAACAACCTCATCAAATCAGGTAACCTCTCATATCCCTAAACGTGTTTTTCCCTCCTCCGTTGATTCTCTGATACTCTGCTGCCCTTAGGGGAAAGAAAAAGGATTTTGCTTTTTGGTGTTCTGAAGCTATGATTGATGATTGTGATCAGGAAACCCCGATTGGGAATCGGAGCCTTTCGATTTTCTTATCAAGAATGAGCTGGTTCGGATGTCGCTCGAAAAGTTCCTTCTTGCCAAGAACATTTCTGCGGTGCGTATCTCCGATTTTTCGGATTCAATTTGCAATTTGTTGCGTGAATTGTGTGCATAAGTTTTCTGATAAAATGCTGTGTGTAACTTTTATGCAATTGCAAGCAACATGGAAATAGAAAGCAATGCTGAGAGATTGGTTAAAAGTGACGGGATTGGAACAATGGAATTTAGAGTGTTATCAGCTTGATTAATACGAGATAAAGTGAAGTTGAAAAACAAAACGTAGTTTTTGTTCATTAGACGGGATTTCTAAGTTACGCCTCGTTAGGCGTAACTTTGGCATAGGATTTGAAAAACAAAACGTAGTTTTGTTCATTAGACGGGATTTCTAAGTTACACCTTGTTAGGCGTAACTTTGGGCATAGGATTTTAATTGCTTCAAGCTCCGTCGTCAAGTTCCTCGGAATTTTGTAAAGTCTGTTTCAGAGTCTCCAAACTGGATACTTGAGAAACCAACAAGAGTTAAGCTAATTGGGTTAATTACTTCAGTTAGCCACATAATATGGGTTTTACAATTATGTTTTTGGTTCCACAACTAGGAAAAATTGAGTTTATCTATTATTTATTGTCAAGTGCGGATGCTATCTTCTAAATTAGAGTGGAGTGGGTCTAGTGTTGCATATGTTGCTTTACGAGCTGATTTGATGTAAGTTTATTTTCATCATTGTCATTTTATCCACCTTTTTTATTTAATATCTAATGATAGGTTTATGACTTTTACAGGAGAGGATATTGGAAATCGAATATATACGGGCTGTGGTCCCACGCAAAGAAGAAGAACCTTCTTTACATAATGACTGGGTCAGTGCAGTTGATGGTTCTAGTCCCAGGTATAACCATCACAATTTGTAATGTGTACTACATATCTTCATGGAAGTCTATAAATACTTGGTTGCTCCAAAAGTGTGTAGCGATAAACTCTTATCCTACATGGCTTGGGGTGCAGTATGTAAACAATAAGGATATATCTGTTGCTAATAAAGTGTGAAGTTAGAGTAATTTTTTTGAGCTGAGGATTTGTAGTTAGGTCCTCTTATTAAGAAAGGTGGCATGGAATAGCTAGCTTGAAAAGTATTATTTTCAGTTCTACTCCAAGTCTCTTAAGGGGAAACCTTCAATTGTCATTTCTCGGAATGTTTGGTATTCATTTAATATGTTAACTTGCATCGTGGTGCAATATGAAGTTATTTCTGAAACATTATCCTAAATTTGATATTCTTGTTTTGGCCCTAAAGTAGTTTGAAACTCCTGTAATTTGTATTCTATGGCAGGTTCTTTTTGACAGGCTGCTATGATGGTTTGGGAAGGTAATTCCTCAAAAAAGTTTTGATTTCATTTCTTGTGTACCTCATGATTTCTCATGTGGATACACCCAAAATAAGGAAGCTTAATATTTACTTTTGTTGAATTTGGTCTTCTTTTAGGGTATGGAAAGCTGCCGGAGCATGTACACATGTTCTGGAAGGACACAGTGAACCTGTTACTTCAGTTAGTATAATCAATCCAAAAGGTAGCTATAAGATCTAACTGTTGATAATTGGCTTATTCCTTGTTGAATATGGCCACGATACTGTTTTAATCAGTTCTTTAGTGAATGTCAATTGGCACTGCCAACTACTTGCATTTTTTCAATTCTGGGTTTTCGAGGACCAATTTATTATGGCATCCTCATTGTTTTTGCTTTTGGATTTGAAATTTTTTTAATGTCTACTGGGATACTTCTGTGCATGAATTTTTGTGTGTTAGGAGGTGGTTTTTTACCTGGTAGCTGATTAGGTAGTGCAGTTCCCAATATCTATATTATCTTGTCGCAAGTGCTTAAGCTGTTATTCATTTTCTATTGCAGGTGGAGAAAGTGTTACCGTAGCTACTGCTTCGAAAGATCGGACACTGAGACTGTGGAAGGTAATTGGATGACCATACTGTTATCACAAGGGTAGTATGATGTGTATACTAATATTTATTATTTGTTTTTTGGGGAAGTTCAATGCAGAAGAGACCCGAAAAAATCCTTTGAAGATAAGAGCATTCAAAATTTTACGTGGACATACAGCAGCTGTTCAAAGTGTTGCTGCTCAGACCTCTGGAAACATGGTCTTGTCTACTTCTGATTTCCAATATGTAATTTGATAAGTAGTGTATATGAGATTGGGCTTTGTCTATAACTTACCTTTTCTTTTGTCTTCTTACATATGATTAGGTCTGTTCAGGCTCTTGGGATTCTACTATCAATTTATGGCAGACAAATGAGCCTGATTCAGAAGGTGATACTGTGTCAACGAAGAAGAGAAAAAAGACTGGTCAAGAAAAGGAATCGCAGTGGGAGGTATGTGATATGCTTATATATTAAATTTTATATAGAGGGGTTTGATAATTTTTGGGGTGACGTTCAATTGACTAAGTGGGGACAGGCTTATTAAATATTTGACTCAGGGTGCACACGGTATGTACAACTTCTAAGCCCTGACAAATGGCTCATCACTTTGTTATTGATTGAAATTTTTGCACTAGGGAATTCTTGATGGTTTCTTTGTTTCTGCCTATGAATTAAATCTCATAATGTTACACAAAACAATATTTTTCGATCTAATGTAGAAGTAATGGAAAGATTAATTCATTTAAAGGAAATGTCTATGTAAGAAATATAGATCAATTATTTCTTTGAAGGGGATGCCTAACTGGTTTATTTATGTATTAAAGAGTTGTTCAGCTAGAAATCAAAGAAGTGTTTACTTTTTTGAGATTTAAAAGATTATTGCATCAATGATTGTGGTAATTGATAGTTATGGTTGTGGTAATGAGCCAGATTGTTTTCCCTGGTAATTGATGGTTATGATAAATTATACGTCACAGGGGGAGGCTGTTTCTTCTCTAATAGGCCATACACAATGCGTATCTACTGTGAAGTGGCCAGAGCCTAAAACAATTTATTCTGCATCGTGGGACCATTCCATTAAAGAGTGGAATGTCGAGAGAGGCACAGCCACGTCGACAATAGTAAGTGCAAATAGCCTTAGCATTCTGTTGTCTGAAGTCTTTTTTGACAATCATGCTTATATGCTTTCTGTGGCATCAAATCACACAACATCCTGGCATTTGCTCTCTCAGAGTTATTAAATGTGTATGTGGTAACATTCTCCTCGTGACAGTATCATGATAAAGTACTCAACTGCATTGATATTGGAGGTGAAGGTTCTGCTTTGATTGCTGCTGGTGGTTCTGACCCCATTGTTAGGGTATGGGATCCTCGTAAACCAGGTCCGTTAGACGACTCAAGTGTTCTGCTCTCTCTCTCTCTCTCTCTCTCTCTCTCTCTCAGCACACACACACAAACAAACAAACAAAAACACATCTGACATAATGAGGACATTTCATTTAGTCTCTGCATCTTATGACGGAAAAGTTATGCTGTGGGATACGAGAACTGCTGTATGCCTCCTCATTGTTTTTGTTTTCTTACAATAGTTCACGCTTCTGCCAAGCATGACCTTGAGATGAATTTGTTACTCAATAATAGTGTTTTCTCTTGCAGTCTGTCTTTCATTATTCTCTCTTTCTATCATTTTAATTTCCTTTTTTCGTTAGTGTTCTAAAATTCAATCTATTTTTTAACTGTGAACTTTGCTGTAACTCAGGCGCTATGCGCTGACTGGTGGAAAGGTGATACTGTGCTTAGTGGTGGTGCAGATTCCAAGCTTTGCATGACTTCCGGGGTTTCTGTGCTGTGAGAGGTAAAAGTTCCCACTTTTATAGGTTATTTGGAAAATTCAATGTTCCTCCCGACTATCAAAGCACGGAAACTTGTCGTATAACCATGCGCATTAGAGGAACATGACAACGTATCTATTACTTTTAAACCTTTGTTTGTCCATCTGGGTGCATTTCGACATAGATGAGTTTTTCCTTAAAAGTTTGTGTTGATTTGATAATCCTGCTTTCTGTTATACTTCATATGTGGCATTAAAAGCTCAAAGATTCTGTCTCAAAACGTTTTGCTTTAGTTTGTTCTGTTGCGTGATGATAATTTCAGTATTTCTGCCATTGCTTTCAGCCATAAGCAGAAGAGTGATTTGAAGATGGAAGGACTTTTGCATCGCTTACAACTTGCTTGAATCTCTACATGTTTCATGATCCTGTGGAAATTGGTCGCGAGAATGGGGGCAATCTGAGTATTGTGTCTATGGGGATGTTTGGCCGTGACTTTGGTGCCTCACATGGCCGGAGAATATATAGTCTCGGAGCTATTTTTTGGTCCAAGGCAGACTATGGCTTAAGCAGTAGCAATTGACTGACTTCTTTAGAAGTGTGCTCGATGTACAATTGCATGATTTATATCTTATATTTTTTTGGTAACTTTGTACTTTTGGAGGTTTGCTTGAATTCTCTAAACGGTGATCCTATCATTAATTTTATGTCTTAAAATTTAGTGTTGTTCTTTGGCGTGCGTTTGTCCAGAATGCGAACATATACGCTATATTTCATTATACAAGTGGAGGGATGTTTGAAAGAAAAAAAATCCTTCCACTCTACTTGTATAGGGTGTTGCTCCGTATTCCACACACATTGAAAAGTTGAAAACTTTATGTGCGTTGGATGACTTGAGGATTGCTACTGTGTAAGCTGAGAATCCAAATGGACGGGAGAGGAGAATAAATTTTGTCTTAACGAATTAAAAAAAAAACACCCTTAGTTAACAGATGCCCAAAGAATTTGCAGGTTGACCCGAAATCAACCGAAAAAAAAAAGTGGATGATTAACAGGTTCAACCGTTAACAATATTTTTTTTATAACAAACGATATTATCTACTAACCGTTAATAATTCAACAACTTGTTAAGTCTCCACCCAAATGCTGATTTAAATTTGGGGTCGGGTTAGTGGGTTGGGTTGAAGTTGCCACCCCTAACTGTGGGAATGGATTTTGGCGCGAGAATTCGGTTAATTACTTTCCAGTTCCTATTTTACCCCTGCGACCTCCGTTGATGAGTTTGCTAGGGGCGGTTGAATTCCGTTGATGAGTTTGTTAGAGGCAGTTTTAACTGATCAGTGTAATGAGAGAGAGAGAGAGAGAGAGAGAGAGAGAGAGAGAGAGAGAGAGAGACTATAAATAGCCGTGCATAGCTAGTTCATTTCTTCATAGTTTTTCATAGCACACTGGCCTTCAACTTGCTCTCTCTGAATTTCCCAAAACTCCCTCTAGATCTCTGCCTCTCTCTCTCTCTCTCTCTCTCTCTCTCTCTCTCTCTCTCTCATCTTCTTTCTTTTTCTTTCTCTCTCATCTCCTTTCTTTCTCTTTCTCGCTCTCTCTTCTTGCCGTGCTTCTTGCACATCATGGAAGCCGCCGCCGTACCGGAATGGCAGCGTCAGTTTGATCTGTGGTTTCTCATTCTGCTCGACCACCTCTGCGAGTCTGAAAGAATTTGGACCATGGGATATCCACTGGCGCGTCTTAAACAAGATTTCCGTCACGCGAGCGGCCTCGAAATCGATCACCGTTCCTTGGGCTTCAACAACTTGAGCGGATTCATTTCCAGCGGTTACTCACACCTGTGTATGATGGAGAGGGTCGGCGGTAGAAGGAATCGAAATCTGATCGTCCGCCCCATCAAGACTCCTCCTACTCGTCACGACACTAATTATAAGGTCGCCGATACGTGCTGCCTCGTACCCTTTGTTATCGCAGTCTTTCTGTACTTTGTTTTCACCATCGACATCGACAACGATAACATGAAACTCTTATGATCGTCAGCCTTAGAGGAGGAGGAGGAGGAGGAGGGGGAGGGGGAGGCCTCTGATGATTGTTTCTTTAATTTCCGCGAGATCTTAGGCTTGGCTAGGCTTGGCTTAGGGTTTGTTGTATTTTCCGCGAGGTCAAGAAGGTGCATGCATGGTGAGGAGATATTTTGGTTGAATACACAATTTTACGAGTCGCCCTTAGAATCGCACAGACACGTGATCTGGACAGCGAATCCCAAATTTTCTTTCAGCGAGAGATCTGCCTTTGTCTTCCATATTGCTTTCTACGAGTTTATTAAAAGAAAAGTCAGAGTTGGGAAAAGTGAGCTGCCTTTTACAGGTGGGCCTGTGTGCTCGTGCGAGATCCCGTGAGTGTGAGCCAACCGTTAAAATGACCGAACTACCCTTACAAAATGACTAAAGTACCATTAACGAGTGATAATATAAGTAATTTTCTTGTTAGCAAAGAAATACCTTAAAAATTTAAACCCCAATAACATGTCTACTTATCTCAGATTCTCAAGCGAAGCTCACACGAAATCAAGAATTCGACCTCTAAAGAAATGAATTGGATCCCTAAGCTGGGAAGTAACATTATAATTGCTCGAGAAAAAACTCATTTCAAGTTTGTATTTTGAGTTCATTTTACGTTTATACTGTTTTTAAAACGTTAAATTTGTCCAATTTTAGTCAATAATAATTTATTTAGGACATGAGCATTTTAATAATACTGGTTTCGATTCAGACTCACGTGCATTAGTAAAACAACTTTTGTAGAATTAATATTGGGTAGTGCTATTCATACCTATTTTTACTTTTCACACATCTTATTAAATTTTTGTTCATTGATTTTGTTCAATTCATTCGATTCGACAATTAAAAATTAAGAGGGTGTATGAATAGTAAAAATGGGTGTGTAACAACACCCTTAATAATTTCATCCCCTTGATAGACTCCGAATTTCCAACTCATCCTCAATTCTTTGAAAGGTCGATTACCCAAGAAAATTTGCCTATTTATTTAAATCCAAGTTCGAAACCCATTCACCTAAATTGAATAGTTTTGGATATCGTTCTAAAAATTTTCGTCTAGCACTCTTTGATTAGTCTTTACGCATTTTAAAATTAAGAAAGTGGTCATAGAGTCACTTAGGCATTCGCCTAACCCAACTAGGTCGTGACTTCTACTTAGACATAAAATTGATAACTTTTTATTTTGCATTTTATTTTGTCAATAAGACTTGGATGAACACTCATTAAATGCTTGTTCTCCGTATTTTCAATATCTTCTAATACTTTCTAATCTATATATCATTTTATTTTGCAATTTATGTATCCTAATATAATTATATGTTTTTTTAAGTATAAATAGTGTGACAACCCATTTCGGAAAATAATTTCCGTTGACGTGAAATTACTGGTTTACCCTTGGACGTTAAGTTGTGTGGTGTATGACTTGTATTTAAGTTGGATTTAATTATGATTTCCTAAGTTTTTGGAACCACTTAGGAACTAAGAAAGACTAAATTTCTCTCTCTCACTTCCGTGCCCTCTCTCTCATACTCACACTCTCCCTCTCTTCCTCTCTTGTACAGACACAACCAGAAACCCTTGTAAACGTGACAGATCGAAGAAGAAAAATAGTACCATTGTGTTCCTAAGGTCCTCACGAGTTCAAAGGTACCAATTACAGGTAAGATTACCTTCGATTTCACGTCGAACCACAAAACCCGATTTGGGGTACTATTCATGCTCAAGTAAAATGTTGATTTTTAGGGAACTTAAAGGACATAGGGAGCTTAAGGAGGTCCTTACGAAGCTCGTAGTACTTCGTTTGAAGAAATTGGACGTCGGAATCGTGAGAACGATGAGTTTTAAGGTTTGCCGGATTATCGAAGCTTTTTCTAGCGGGATTCCGGTGGTTTCAGAGCTCGAATCAGGTATGATTTTGTTCGTCGTTGTGAGATCTTTAAAATGGTTCAAGTTTCATAAATCTTGGGTTAAAAACAAAGAAGATATAAGGAAATGAAAATTTCCCGGTTTCCGACAACGGCAACGGTCGCCGAAGCTGAAGGTAGAAGATGAAAGGATATTCCGTTAAGTTTAACGGAATATTCTAACGGCGTTAGGTCACGCTGTTAAGTTTTGTTAAGGAATAAACGGAATATTCCGGAATATACCTGACGGCGTCAGTTGACATCATCAGTGTGCCTGGCACATGGCCGTGTGTGGGGGGGGCACGTCTGGCCGTGCCTTGGACGGCGCGTGGCGGCGCGTGGGAGCTAGGAAAAATATTCTAAAAATTTGGGGATGATCCTGAGGTTGCGTAGGTCACTGTGGTATATTCATATACCTAAGTTGAGCAATATATGAGAAGTTATTACCTATTGTTGGTTATGTGCGTTAAATAATGTTAATTCGGTTATTACGACTATATGTGAGACCTATTCTCAGGATGTGCGTAATCAATCGAGGCTCGGGGGCTACTACCCATCGACATATCTGTGAGTAGGCAATTATTTTCAGTATATATATATATATACACACACTTGGCGTTTTTTCCAAAAAACGTATTTAAAGGAAATGTGATTTAAATGTCATGCTATACCAATGCCTATATTTAATTTTAGTGTATGCATTATCATAATTATGCATATTGTCGCATGGTGCTGTGGAGGCCCAAGTAAGCTTAGGTGAATTATGTTTTGATTATGTAAATTGTCAATGATGTGATATGTGATATGTGATTGAATAATGTTGAGCTCATAAAACTGCACCTAGAATGATTGTGATTTAGCCAGAGATATGATACAGGCCTGTTTATTATGTCACCTCCCGCGCCATATACTCACATTGGATCCAATTTAGGTGCACATTCTTGTCGTATAGACCTTATTTATGGTTCCGACTTGTAGGTGACTAGCGATTTATCGCCCGGCTATTATGTGAGAGGAGTATTGAGCATAATTATATTACACCCATTATCGTCGTACAGACCCTTGCATTTGGTTTCGACTATTGTGCAGTATGTTGCCGTATAGGTTATTGTAGGGACTCCGGCTAGAGTGACTTTTTAGCTATGAAATTTAGCCGTATAGACTACCTCAGGGGTTCCGGCTAACATGTTATATTTCTATGAAATCATTATTACCTGATTTGCTTACTCTATTATATCGTGACATGACATACATATGTTTATGATTATGTGAAGCAAGATTGAAATGATATAATTACACATATATTTTTGTATATTCTTATATATTAATTATGGGAAAAAGTATACTTGTTTTATGGCGATGGGTTAGTATATTCAAAGGAAAATAAGGTTTATATGTAAATGTGTTTTTCTGACCCACTCAACTTTGTTTTTCGCCCTTCCATGTTTTAGGTAGCAGAGTTTGGTGGCCACAAGGAATTCAACGGTGTTTTGACAGATCTCGAAAAAGTAGGATTCATCCTTTGGTGTTGTATCTTAGTAATTGTCATACTTGACTGTAACTAGACTTTCTTATTGCTCTGAAAGTGTATTTATACACTTAAACTCTCACTAGTATCCCTTCTTAATTGGGATTGTTAGTTGCTTGATTTTAAATTGTTAGTATTTCTCTTACTCTTTATAGCTTCCGCTTTGCGCTCATGGTTACGTCACTCTCACGTGACGCCCAGCACTTATTGACTTCGGTCGGGGTGTGTCAAATAG